GCTTTTGTTTGTTTGTTTTCTGTGTCTTAATAAGTGAAAGACAATGCAAATTTGCTTTGATTTTCGGCTGGAGTGCTTGAGTTCCTTTGCTTTGAATCCTGAAGTTTCGGAAAAAAAATCCAGAGCTTCAGGGGTTGAGGGGTTACCTGTTGGTTCTTGTAGCTTGGTAAGGTGAACAGCAGCGGAAACAAGATTCCTTCTGCTTTTCTATCTCTGATAAGATGAACAGTGGTGGAAACAAGATTCGTTCTACTTTTCTATCTGTGAATCAGCATAAAATGGGAAGAGGAAGAAGACCTGGTTGCTGCTAGTCCCTTCGGCTCTGGATGGTGCCAGCACTCAACAGCAGAGTCGTTCCCTGCGAGACGGGGATGACTGTGGCAATTACATGGCACTTGGCAGATTTGGGGACTCTGATAGCCCGAATACATTGTTATCTCGAGAGCCGAAGACCAGCTGTGAGCTTGGCAGAATTTATTTATTTATTTTCACCCTATTTTAGGTGGTTACTTAATTCCAAAAGTCGATGGACATTTGCATTGCCTTTGGTGGGGGGGCAGCAAAGCGTAGATGGGGGCTATTTAGCACTGTAGTTTCTTGTGTTTGAGGGGCCTTGCTTTGCCTCTTCTTAATTCTCTGTGTCTGGTGTCTGAAAGTATTGGGCAAACAGGATTGTGAGGAAGAAAGCTGGTGGCCTATGTGCAGAAAAATGACCTGTTCATGAACATTAAAAAAATATTAATTCATTTTATATGGCAAATATTTATAAGCTGGTTTTAAATGGGAGAATGCAGGGTGATTAAAATCAGGAAGAATGGTTTGTCCAGCCGCGTGAGGTACCGCAGGTACGTGCTGGATGAATTGCAGCTGCCTCTGAGCAGTAACGAAAGTCATTTTGGACGTGCTTCTATAGCTCATCCTTACCGCGATGCGTCAGTGAATTGAGTTGACTTTGAGAGTGGGGAGGAGTGGATTCCCGACTGTGGGAAGGGGTGGGTAGAAGTCGAAACATCGTGTTGTATTTCAAGCTTAGAGTTTTGGTCTGATACTTGATCCAAACCCTAGCAGCAGCCTCCAGTCACATGGAGAGCCTGGGAAGCTTTTTTAAGGTACTCTTCAAGCTGTGTTTGTGTTTTCATGACTTGGCTGAAAGGTGGCTCCATAAAGATTTGGTTTGGCCTTGAATACAAGATTCTTTGAGCCTTTTGAAAAATACTGCCTGCATGTCAGTTTAGTTACTTCTGTTACATGTTGAATTCAGCCTTTGGCTCTTCTAATATCCAGAGGATACTGAGTGTCTCACTTGTAAGGATGCTTTTGGCGGTGGGAAACCAGACTTGTCCTGTACAAAACCCCCTGGATTTAGAGAAGTTCTCGACCTACAAGCTGCATTTTTTTAGAGTGATTGCAGCGTGGAAAAGCTGTTCCGTTTTAACAGTGGACAGTTACTCTGTCCCACTGACTGTGTAAGGGGGGGGGGGGCTTGAAAGGAGCCACCGTGTTTTGCACATAGTTCTTGTTTGAGAGCTGCTTCGGATTCTGGAGTTATGCCCACGTAGCTGAGTTTTCCCAGGGCACTGCGTGAATGCTAAGCTGTGTTGTAATGAATTCGAGTGGGCAGCAGCATAAGCCTGCTCTCATTTTCCCTGGAAGACGCTGCTACATTGTCTTGTCTGTATCCTGAAAGCCTCAGTGTTGTTTGTCAAAGGCTTGATTCTGCAAGTGCCACGTATGCAAAGAAGCCCATGAATAGGAAGGACTTGCCGTGCTGGTTCTCAGCTCCTCGCATAATGCCCAGAGCCAGGACAACTGGCAATAGGCTGAACCAAAGCAGTTTTTGTTAAACTCTTGGTATTCCATGGGCATCTGCGCTCCCACACGTGAGATGTTTAAAATTGTCTAGTTATGTTCTGATAACGCCTGGGAGTCGCTTTCTGCGGGGGGTATATATGTGCTTAGAGAGGCCCGTGTCTGCGCCATAAATAGAGGGAACAGGCAAAGGTTGGCAGAAGTGAAGTGATTTACTTGTGACCACGCGTGCGGTGGTGGCAGGTGTGGAAGCTGTCTGCATCTCCCAGCTCTCAGACCAGTATTTTGGCCCTGAACCACCTTGTTTGCATGCAGAGTGTGTATACGTGTTCTTACCTCTTTCTCTTGCATAGGGGCATGCATACGAGGGAAGGGAACTGATGTAACTGCGTACAAAAACTGGGATGTGGATGTTGGAGCTTCATATTGCACGCTGGCGTTAGCATCTGGTGTAGGTGTTTATGCAGTGCAGTTAGCAGATCAAAAATCCATGCCGATAGCGTTAGGTGTGATGGTAGAAACGGGGCGTGGGTAAATCACACGCTATCACCCACTTAACCAAGGCGGGCAAGGGGTGGTAGGCTTGGAAAAGGTCAGCTTGCTCCTGCGGGGTGGGTTTGGGAAGGAATAGTTGCTGCTGAGGGGCCTGAAGTATGACAGGGCTGAACCTCCTCCCTCTGGTGTCTAAAAGGAAAGCGGCTTCTGACAAGTGTGTGTGGCGAATATCTCCTGCCTTGGCAGCTGGTGACTCTTAAGTGCTCGTGGGTCACAGTCAGGACCTTCTTGTGCAGGCTGCTGCATTTGCAGGGGTTTCTGCGGTGCTTGTTTCCAAGGGTGTGCCCCCTGTGAGCCGGCAGGAAGGAGTCTTGGGCCCAGGCGTACCTTATCTCGTCTCCTTCTAGGAAGTGATGCAAGATGCTTCCTTGTTTCTCTAAAGGCATCCTGAATTTTGCTGACGGGTGGCTTGCTGGCTGTTTACCTTTTGAGATCAGCTCCTCTGGAGCTGTGGGAGCTGGCCTGCTTCTGTGCTACGCCTCATTTGTTTTGGGGAAAATGTGTTTCTTGCTGATCTAAGCCTCTCTGAGTGCACCGGTTTAGAGCTGAGTGCCTTAGAGGAAAGTCAGAAGGCTTTACTGAAGCAGTTGTGGTGAGGTCAGAGCAGGACTGATGTTACGGACGGCACACAGCGGCAGCTGAGCTGCTCACCTCTTCCTGGCAATCTGAGTCGCAGTTCAGGAGTGCCCGACGCGTGCCCGAGCGCAGCAGATGTCTGCTCGCCTCGACGCACCCGGCTGCGAAACCACGACAGTTTGGGAGGTGACTCAGGGGCTCTGCCTCCACCGTAAACAGCCTTTTGCACAGGACGTACGGCTTGTCCCCATGTTGTGATTGAGCAGCCTTGGTAACAGGGGCAACTACTGAAGCAAGGACACCCAAAGAGGTTTTTATCTGGAGAGGTACAGCAGCGGTGAAAGTGTATGTGCTCGGGGGAGTTACAGGGGCTCCACGTGTACGTTTTAGTTTCTCAGCACAGGGCAATGCAGAAAAGGAAACACCGTCAGTTCTCTCGGGCAGCATGGAGACCTGATTCATGACAAACCTGTTTCTACCATAAAGCTGTAAGGTTCAATAAACACAGTGTGTGAGTTGGGGTGTTGTTGAGGTGCCTAGCACCCTCTGGATAAATTTGATCTCATGATGCCCTTGGATTGTGGCAGCTGCAGTCTCAGCTGAAGAACAAATGTGCCAGTTCTGCCTCACTTTAATTGTGAGCTAAGTGCCAGTCTCTGAAATGAGGCTGTCTGCTCTCTGATGAAAGCATGAGATTGTTTTGTTCCACTTTAGGTGTCTAAAATGTGGGTCACTGAGACGCAGGACATACTAGCGTGACGATTTTAGGCCTGAAGGGACAGTGTTGGCTATTGATGCCTGTTAGAGTGTGAAAGTCAGGACTTCTAGGTCAGCTATTACCGATTGATGAGCTTGATGCATGTGTTGTTTAAAGCCTTTGTGTTAAACAGAGAAGAGGTTGGTTTCAGCTTATTCTTTTCTGGGTGTTAATAACAGAATTTGAGCCTTGGCTTTTGGGGAGGAAAAAAGATGCCTGCCTGTAAGAGAGTTGTGGGGTTGCCTGGGGAGAGCTCCACGTAGGTACACGGTGTGGTGCATCTCCTGGCTGCGGTCAGGAGCTGTGCCTATCTGAATGCTTCTCTTGGTCCTGCTGGGCATGGCAGGACCATGACCACCACTTCTTCATCTTCCTCTGCTTCCGAGACCCAGTGTGTGTCGAGGCCTCAAATGTCCTGTGTCCCCCTGGACTGTGTAATGCTGTTACTGAGCAGCAGCGTAAAAAGTGCATGTTGGGTTGTGTTTCTTACACGGGCTAATAGCCCAGCAACAATGCAAATGGCATCCCGTGGTCTGGGCAGCTGAAGAAAGGAGGTCCTCATCCAGAGAGCATGGTTGCCTGCCTTGGTGTGGGAAGCTGGTCCTCTGAACACCTCCTGGCTGGAAGCGCTGTTGTATGACGTGACTGTGTAATTTTGAGAGAGACTGATCTGTCTTGTGTTGGTTTGAGAAGACAGAGGGATGAAACTACATGGGTAACTTCTGTTACCGGCATGTTTTACACGAAAGCAGGAATTAGCTGGGGCTCCACATAGGAAGGGCAAATTGGATTTTAATCTCTGCAGCGCAGTGTGTTAGCGGTTGACCTCAGTGTTTGTCCTCGTTCATTCCATGCCATTGCTGCCCTGATAGGAGTTGTAGTGTGCGTCGCTGTGTTGGCGACGGGAGGCAAGGTCTCGTTAAGAACAATTTTACGAGTGAAAGTGGAAACGGATAGCTGCAGATTTTAATATCCTTATCAACTGTGGTCTTACGTGAGCTTGTGACATTAACTACTGTTTCAGTGGCAGGTACAAAATGCAGCTAAAATTTCTGGTCTCATTTCAAGCTGCGGCACGAACGTTCCCAGAAGCTGGATAAAATTACCTTCCTTGTTGCGGCAGGTCTCTGTGCTGAATGGGTCTTGTTAGGGATCGTTAACATCCCGCTTGTGGGTGCCAAGTCTGGATGCCGCTGTCAGAAAGGCTGTGGTGATGAAGGATGAAGCCCAGTACTTAGCAGCAGTTTCAGGAGCGCTCTGCCTGTCTGTCTATCCTAAGTGTATTCTTACGTTTGTATCCTGCAGGTCCTATTGACCATGGACAGTGAAGAAATCCCAACTTTTTCGAGTCCAAAGGAGGAAACTGCGTATTGGAAAGAGCTCTCCTTGAAGTACAAACAAAGGTACTGTTGTAGATTTGCAGGCTGGATTTACTTCTTAATGACCAGAACATTGGTTAATGTATTTCTCTGCAAGGCTACACCAAGATGGGTATTAGGTATTTTAGAATGAATCTCTGCATTTAAATCGAGATTTAAACCAGCTTTAAATCGAGATTTAAGATCTCCAGCCTTGTGGGAGCTGAGTGTTTCTTGCACAGCGTAACCGTGCCATGAACTCCAGGCTACGTTTCAAGCATGTTTAAGCAAGAGCAGAGCCCTTTTATGATCATGTGCATCTTTGTATAATTAAAGTGCTGCCTTAAGTAGTATCTTGGTGTTTTATCATAAGAAGGCACCTTTGGGCTTGCCTTAAATTGTTACTGTTCCCTCAAGCTTCTTGTGTTTGAATTACTGGTATGAGAAGTGGCTGATTTGGTGTTTGCTGCAATTTATTGAAGCGTATTGTACCTTATAGTCCAGCTTGTACCAGTGGTTTGCATCTTCTAGTGGGCACGAGGCTTTTTTGGTTACCAAAAACGACGAGAGAGGTTGTTGTCTTGAGTAATGCTGTGCTCCTTGGGGGGTGGGGTTTGTTTGGAATTTTTTTTGGAGTGGGGGGCATTGGAGGCTCCCAGCCTATTTTCTTTGCAGTCAGTGTTACTCATGTGCAGTTGAGGTGAAGCCAGTTAAACCTCTCTCAAGCCCAAAGAGCCCAAGGTGCAAGTTGCTTTTTTTTGTTTGGTTTTGGGGTGTGTTTTTTGGGGGGAGGTGTTGGGTGTGTGGAGGGGCCAGTCCATGTGGAGATCCCTCAGCTGTTTTTGGGTGTCAGAAAACTCTGTCTTGGACACAAATGGATACGCTGCTTCCTAAAACCTTGATAGTTTTCTGTGCTGCTTGCTAAGAGCTGAGCTATTAGGTGTGGTAAAGATGCAAATTTAATAAGAGAAGTATGTGGAGTGGCTACTTCTAGTATTTAATGACTTGCAGTGGTATAAGGTAGGTATGTGCTGGCTTCCTGCTGTAGTGCTCAGTAATCCTAAGATTGAAACCTTCACGCTTTTCAGGAACCTTAAATTTCCAGGTAGTGCAGAGATCTAGAAACTGCTGTTCTCTCTTACAGTTTTTGTCCAAAATCAGGTTAAATGTTTGTTTAATTCATTGACTCTATCAAGTCTGCTAGCAGTGAAATCTAATGGAGTACAAAGTGGTTGTCAGACTCCCATGAATCCTGTAAATAGCTTTGATACAAGTTTGTATTCACACATGCATTTAGTGTAGCTGTTTGTGTGATGTAAAATAATTAATTTCCTTTTATAGCTAAACTTAATGTAATTTCTCTGTTTCCCTATTTCTCTTTTTCCCCTTAGAGGTCCATGGATGACACTTAAGTACTTTAAAACTCTTGTTTTTTCCGCTTATTGTTTTAAAGGAGCTGTGGATTTTGTTTTAACTTGGGAGATGCTGGATTTTCAGCTGATGAAATCCTTTTCTTACAGCTTCCAGGAAGCTCGTGAAGAGCTGGCTGAATTTCAGGAGGGAAGCAGGGAATTAGAAGCTGAGTTGGAGGCACAACTAGTGCAAGCTGAGCAGAGGAATAGAGATTTGCAAGCAGATAACCAAAGACTGAAGTATGAAGTGGAAACATTAAAGGTAGGTCTTTTCTGTAATAGCATTACTTCTAATTACAGATAGGTGGTCTTGGAGATCATTTTAGATTGTCTGGTGTGTTCTTAGTCACCGAGTATCCAAATGAAGTAAAGGAGTTGTCTGTTTAAGATCCAGACTTGAGTATGGCACGTACTCCAAATAAGGCCAGCAACTTACCAGGGAAATTTCTGGTGGAGTTTTTCTTGTTCACATCATGAAACTCTTGTCATGGACCCTGTGCTCGTTTGTTTGAATTCTCTAGGCTTTGCCAAGTAGTAGCTTTATTAGTTCCACAGGCAACATCAGCATAGCAACAGGGCAGACAACACAAGTATGTTTTGTCAGACGGCTGCTTTGTCATCTTTCTTTGCATACTAGTGTGTGGTTTTTTTTTTTTCCCAGAAGGTCTCCTTGGTTTCATGAGACCTTAAAAACTACTAAAGATGGGTGACTTGTCAGAGAGAATCTCCTAATTCTTTCTTAACAGCTGTATCTGTGGAGACAGGTATTCCATAAGGATCTGCGTGTGCAGAAGATGATTTTTCATTGATGGCTCCACATTAACAAGTTGTCGCCTCTTCTAGAATCTTGGAAAAGCGTAATTTTTGGTAGTCTTAGGTTATTTTAGTGGAGGCAAAGGTTGGAAACTTACCCAGCGGAAATAAAGTTTATGGGGTTGCTTGTTCACACCTGCAGTCCCAGCTATATCTGTAAGGTCAGTAGTTTTTCCATAAGCCCCAATGTGTACCCTCAGAGCTGGTAAAAATGTGTTTGGGAGTGAATCTTTCAGTCTTTTGAAGATGAGCTTGTGGAGCTGGAGGTTTTGTAACAGATCTCAGTGGCTCTCCTTTGTGCTAATGGAGATGTCAGACAAGTTTTGGTAACAGTGTGGCTATTGTCAAGGGAGGGGCACTGAAGGGGAGGCTGTGCAGTTTGATTTCTCTCTGGCTTCCTAGATGTTGGAGGCTTCAGAGCAGCTGCCAGTGCAGGCCGTTGGGAACAGATGCGGGGATGCATCTCTGAGCGGCCAGCTGTGTCGTGGCGAGCTGTCTGTGCACAATGCAGCGTTTGTGACCTGGCCTGATCTGCAGAGCGTGTTCCTTCGAACTCTCCGGTTTTTGCTCTGTATTAGTAGCAATCCCAGATCAGCAGCCTGCAGCGAGCGTGGGACTTTGTTCCATTTTACTACTGGTGACTTGGAGAGTGTACACGCCCGGTGTTTATCACACTACTTCTTTCTTTCAGGAGAAACTGGAGCACCAGTATGCGCAAAGCTACAAGCAAGTATCGTTGTTAGAGGATGACCTGAGCCAGACACGGGCCATTAAAGATCAGCTGCATAAGTATGTGAGGGAGCTGGAGCAGGCCAACGATGACTTGGAACGTGCAAAGAGGTGAAGGCTGCAAACCTCTTCTTTCCTTAAAATTTTCACTAGATCTTTTCTTTGCTACTCGGATTGATTATTTTATTATTCCTTAAAAGGGAAAAATAACACACGTTCCGAAATACCCAAACCAACCCCAAGACACTTGATTCTTTGTACAGTGCAGTCTACCCTTGGAGTTCACCTCCCTCAGCTGGTAGCGTTACATTGCAGCACGAAAGGCAGGGGACCGAAGGGCTTCGTGTTCCTGGAGAAACAAGCAGTGCAAGTAGGCGCAGAGTGAAACACGCTAGAGCCCTGCTTTTGGTACTACCAGCTAGATGACTCTTACATTTGTGATCCTTGTAGCTCAAAGCTGCTTTGAAGTAAGAAGCTAATGCTTTACATAGTCCCTTTTAAATAAAACAGGCCAAAGGAGCCTCCTCTTCCCTTGCATAAGAGCTTAATGACTGGAGGGAACAAATGTGTCCTGTGTAAATGCGTAAAATGAACAGGCTGCTGTTAGAAACACCCAGTTTTGGAGTAGGTCATGCTTCCGTTTTGCTGAATGGGAATTTCACCATTGATTCAGTGGGACCAGGAATGAGCCTCAGGCTATCTGGCAAAAAGATCTGAGAGTTGAGGCCGTTTCCACAGGGCTTTTAACCTCATGACTAACTTTTGACACAGATGAGTTATCCCACTGAAATCATGGCACGAATTGGGTCTTAGGTAATATCCTAGTGCCCTGCATTCTGCACTCGCTGGGCTGTTGCCTGTCCAGAGCTCTGGAGAGGACAGCGCCACCTGAGTTCACGTTAATCATTACCTGTATGGCTTTGGAGCATGGCTTGGGAAAAACGGAGATGGATGTGCTGGCTTGGCTCTTTCCCAGCTCTTTGGTACATCTCTGAGAGCCAGATGCTATCATGTTCTTTTCATCTTATTCCCCTTCTCCTTTGGAGTTTATTAGTCCTTTCTAAGAAGCATTTCCATAGCTTTCAAACGGCTAACTTGAGTGTAGACACTGCTAATGTTTTTCCTTTATTATGTTTTTGAATACACTTTTATGTTAGCTGAGCTGAAGAACCTAATATTCTGGATTTTGTTTCTAGGGCAACAATAGTTTCATTGGAAGACTTCGAACAAAGGCTGAACCAAGCTATTGAGAGAAATGCGTTTTTAGAAAGCGAACTGGACGACAAGGAATCGTTGCTAGTTTCTGTACAGAGATTAAAGGATGAAGCGAGAGGTATGGCTTGATTAGTTCTGTGTCTTGGTACGTTGTGGTTGGCTTGCTAACAGGGACGTGTAGCAACCAAAGCTCGTGTTTGTAGAAAGCCTCGCATAATGAGACTTGAACTGGAAGTGTAATGGAAGCGTTGGGTATTACTTACTAACAGTATGTTCTCTATTCTTTGTATGCCCAGTGTAGCTAAGGGGGGCAGTTTCCTCACGTAGAGCACAGTTAATATCAGATTCATTCATGATTTTGAACACAGGTGAGTACAAAAATACTGTGTTCTGCAGATGTATTCATGCTGAGGAGGTGTGCTTCGAAAGTTCCCACTTGCCATGGTTTTGTGCCTTGTTTAGGAAGGAAAAGCACAGGAAATGACAGGGAAATACATGATAAATAGTTAAATAAATTTCTTACAAAATCCTGTCTCCTGTGTTTTCTTCTAAACCTCTTGGAAATTGCCTGGTTGATTTAAGATATGCCAGTAAAGACTGTGGTTAGACCTGTGGGATAATGTTCTGGGATATGATCAGGAGTTGGGAATTCTCCAATGGATTTCGTGCTGGGGATGCTGGGGAAGCACTTTTTTAATGGTTGGCAGAAACTGATTTCTCTAATAGTGGGGATGGTCTGCCCATAAGCCTGTGCTTGCCAATGATGTCGTTTAGAGATCAGTGGTTTTCAACTTTGTTTCCCAAGTGAAGCTTTCTAAAATAATTCCTTAGTTAAAGTCTAGATCTGAGTGTAAGGCAACACACTTGACAACAGGCTGGGATTTTTTTCCTTTGTTCTCCTTTGTGAACCTCTTTGAACCAAGTTTTTTGCCCTACAAATTGAAAGCCCCTATTGGAAGCATAGGGTTTTTATAATAAATATGAAAAGGAAGATATATTTCCTCAGAAAATAATGTATTGTAATTTGGGGTTAGGGCAATAATACTGGGAAAAACGGCAAAACCTAGTGGACTGTTTTCTAGAACACTGGAATAATTGGCAAAAAAGACATCTTGCTTCTTGGATGAGTCATCTGGAAATTTTTAGCATTTGTTAGGGTAGCAAAGCTACATGTTATTCCCCCTGACAGCGAGCAGGAACACTAGCCCCTATAAGAATGGATATGGTGTGGAACTCAAATATAACGTTTCTGACTGAACGGTCACAAATCCTCTTCTAGGAGCTGAAATAGGTTTTTGTTTCAGCTGTGTTGTTTTACTTAAAGTCAATTCTAAATATTTATGGTAACCTAAAAGCCATACCGTACAACTAATACTGCTCTTGCAGTACTGAGACAAGGAATAAGAGATCTGTAAAAGATAAAGTTGCTCTACCCAAAAAGGAACAACCTCCTTGTAATATATTGTTTATTTGCGTCTAGTTCCTTCTAAGGATTGTATAGATTCATTGCTGAACTGTTCTGGATGCCCTTTGTAGCAAATATACATGGAAATGGGACAGGGCAAGGCAGGGGTAAGCAGCAGCCTGGAGAGGAGGTGAGAACGAAACACAGGTTTCCTAATCTCCAGTCT